TCCATATTTAGTATTTGGAAACTCACACGATCCTTACTAATATTATAGATCAGAAAGTGAGTTTGTTTGTTTGTTCCACTTTCACGCCGTAACTACTAAACTGATTGCTTTGAATTTCTGCAGACGTAAAGTTAGAAGTCCGGATTAAATACAGTGAAACTTGGTTAAGTGGGACCTGTATAAGTGAAAAACCTCCATAACTGGAACTCATGCTGAGGTCCCAACACTTTGGCACTGAATTACCTCTGTTAGTAGGACGAGGTAAACCTCTATATCTGGGATTTGTTCTTTCGATTTATCATCATAGTTACCTCTATAACTGAGACAGCGAGTAAATTTTATATGCATAAACCTCTGTAACTGAGATAACATTGTTTGTTTACTCATTCTTATTCTACCCACAAATTACATACGTAATTCCAAGTCCACCTCTATTAATGGAACCCTCTGTAAATGAGACAGATATTTATTTATACCTGTATATCTGAGACACTGGGTAAGTGGAATACCTCTATAAGTGAAACGACATTGCAGGTCCCTTGATGTCTCACTTAACCAGGTTTCACTGTAATAAGATCCTTTTTAACCCGGAAAAAATTGATATTCCCGAGGGGAAACAAAAGTATTGGTATAGATGGCGCTGTGTGTATATGTATATGTCACATAGACTACTTTTTATCCTCGTGACGCGAGCGAAGCCGCGGGTAAATAGTAAATAATTCTAATGTTATGTTTCTCCACAAAGTTTCCAAATAAATTGTTACTTACTAACATGTTAAATTAAGACATTTCCTTGAGAACTAACCATGTAAGTAAATGTTGCGTGCGCTGAGAACACTTGCAGCTGTTTGTACACCATTAATTTTCATTAAATTACACATTTTTGACATTTTAATGTCTCTATTCACTTAAATTTACACATTGTGAGGAAACTCGCAAATGTGTATGATGTACTGAACGTCTACACAATGAGCCATTTAGAAGTGATAGGACAAACCATGAACTGTCATCAACAGTATGTTAATACTTTAACGTTCATTAAGCTACAGACTTTATTTAATAAAACTAGCATATAGAACCTAAAATCGACGCAAGCTGTATTATGCACTAAAGTACATTTAGCCATGAATCCATAAAAACCACAATTCGCCTGACACAAAAGTTAAATATAAGTATTCAGCGTCTACAGTTAAACTATGAAGCATTTTCATCTGGTGAAGTTATGTGTATTTGGTTTTTGGACTGTCTTTAGCATATTGTAACCTACAATTTCGGAAAATGAGGCTTTATTCTATCAACCTTTACTCCTCTGTTATTACAAAGATTCCTAAAAGCCTGTGCTTGATGAAGTATCATGCACAATGCACATGTACAGAATTTGCTAGATCTTCTAACTATAGGTATCCAATTACTTAATTGTATCATTTTGGAATGAGCACCTAGCTTCACTGACGGACAGACTGACAGACTATTATTTATTTTGTATTTGTTGACGTTTCAAAAGTACCAAATTATGGTTTAATTGAAATAAATGCTTTGACTTAATCCAATTTAAAATCACAAAAAATCGAATATCAGCCAGTATTAGTTTTCATTGTTTACGTTAAATTATTATTGTTAGGTACTACTATGTTATTTCAATTTGTAATAATTTCTTCTGCATTGAGTCTTGAGTTATATCTTGAGTGTCCATTCCTATCTATGGATTCAACATCAATTTCAATTTATCTCCAAACCATGATATCGTCAGTTTCTCAGTGTATTTATTCTATTTGCCATTAACACTGAATAAATATCACACATCATTTCTTCAACCTTATACAGCTGATCAAATCCTCGTCTGAAGCAAGCAGTTACCAAACATGAGGTTTTTATTCACCGACTGTTTTTTGTGCCTTCATCGGAACCTGCTTATTTCATTGCGTCATCAGCATCTAATATATCAAATGAATTTTAATGTGGAATCCATTTTGGGTTCTGTCGTTCAATGATCCTGATTGTTTGTACATATATTGCTTTCTTTGATACCTCGTCATTGAATTTCATAAATGGTTTCATCTGTTTTTTTATTTCTGTGGTCTCTTGTTTTCTTGTAATGCTCTATCCCAAAATTATTCATAATATTTATTACTCTACGTAGTTATCTTTGACTTTACGTTCTGATCAGTATACATTTTGTCTCTTAATTTTATAAAAAACCCACCATAAACAAAACTCAAATATGAAAAAGGTACTGTTATTTTAACACGACATTCATATATTCAAAGATTTTGTATTTTGATAAGAGAACAATAAATTTTGCATGTAAAAAAACGACAGCTACAACTACAACTTTTAAATCATTACAACATTATTTACTTGGTTCTTAGTGCTTCAATTCTAAATAATAATATAATTAATGTTTCCTCTGTACACGAGCGACGTAGAAAGGAATTCAGAAAAATTTGGTTAAAATGTCATTGTATTAAAAAAACATATTCTAAAATTTATTTTTTAGATTGTGTACTCATCTAGTACTATCATTGGTCACATTAAATTTGACTGCAGCCAGTTCTCTCTCTCTCTCTCTCTCTTTCTCTCTCTCTCTAGAAAATGTTGTTTCATTTTCTGAATATTCTTAAAACTAAAGGGTGTATCCACATCTGGTGAATGATCTGCGAATGTTCAGCTCGCGCAATGCCCGTAAGCTGCGTGCGTGCATTTAAAATTATTATTTATACGAGCCTAGCATGAGGTGCACTAAAGAGGCGCGGTAAAACATTGCCGAGGGCGCGAGCAGCTCGCAAACGTCTCGCGAGCTGTACATTCGCAGAACATTCGCCAGATGTGGACGCGCCCTAAGACATGCATTTATCATTCAAGGTTTTGCATTCAGCTTAGCGACAGTCTGTATATAATAGTCTTTTTTGTCTCAAATTTTTTTAGTCGCGTATGAACGAAACGTTTTGGACTATGCAGCCTCAACATACAGACGAGGTAAAGACAGATTGGCTTTACCTTGACCTTTTGTAACTATAACCACGCCATCTACGTCACATATTCGTAATTATGTTGACTGTTCTACGTCTCCTCGTGATGTAATAAGATAATATTTTTATTGCTGTTATTAGTATAGACTCCGCTTTGATTTGCGATGTTTGATCTTTCCGACTCAAATGCGATGATATCCTTATTATATTGATCATTAAAAGTATTAAATAAATCAGCATTTTGATTTAAGCAAGTGAATTTGACTTGTACGTTCGTTAGTACTTAAATGCAGTTGCAATTTTAAATCATAAATTTATTAGCTCTGTAAAGATGATTAGATAAAGAATATTAACTGTCAAACTGTTGTTTTGGCCTTCATCATTGCAAAAACTGTATAACCACGCATTGTTGCTATAGTAATCAATTCTGTAAAGACATTTGGAAGAAGCATTATCTCGTGGACTGTAAAAAAAACGCTCACGTCATTAATGCCTTCTACACACTCGTCAAAAAAACAATTTTTTCAAGTACATTTTTAAAACTACATAAACAGATTTTACATTATAATTCCTATACTCAGTAACTAGGCCGTATATTTTTGACGACAGTATCGCGTGTCACAATTCTAGGAACGTTTTTAGGTAGTCACAGCTTGTCGAATGCCTAAGTATTTTGGGAAACCATGGCCAGACAGAAAAGGATAGCAACATAGATTTCAGGTTGGATAGAAAAAGATGGAAAGTATAGCGGTAGAATAATGTGGCTTCAAAAGCAGTGGTTATTAAAAATGATTAATTTTTGGAGCCGCTGCAATGCTAATTAGTCTGTACGATGAAGAGGTATAATGTGAGCGAAAGGCGGGACTTGTGTTTTACTATTAAATTAATTACACAGATTAATGATCTAGATAATTTTGGCTTTAAAAATGGAGAGTTGCATTAATGTCACACACAGTTATATCCAATTAAAACTTAGTTTCTACTTTTTACGTGTTGTAAATATGTAAGGCAGCGACCGTGTCTCGTAGAATCGTGGTCTTTAGTTTAATAAAGTTAAAATTAAAAACTAAAAATGACTATTTTTATTTAACTATTATTGAGGATCGGGCAAGTAATGGGGGTTTTCGATTTCGCAATTTCTTCAGTCTTTGTTTAACTCGCTAACGTAGCATCTAATTAATTGAGGAATGTTCGAAATTCCTGTATTTTATTATGTTTTCGCCTTACTTACGTAATTATTTGACGAGGAACTCGACTAGTTTCAAGCCATGCTAGAGGCTCATATTCATGAACAGCATTTCGCGACCCGCGACGCGGTGACTGTCGCTATTCCTAGCTGTTGCTACTCCTAGGAGTAGCAGAATAGAATATGAGCCTCTAGCATGGCTTGAAACTAGTCGAGTTCCTCGTCAAATAATTACGTGAGTAAGCCGAAAATATAATTCCTGTATTAAGTATTATTAAAAGAATAAAATGTTTATAGTTCAGTTCCTATCAAGAACTCGGCAGTTTCAAGGCCTAACATCGTTTTCCTAGAAACAGAATTCTGAGTATTCGTATATTATAATAACGGAGCATTCTTGACGCTACGTCCGGTCGTTCCCTGCCTTTATCTAGACGGCATATCAATTTTGCATTTGAAGGTATACTTCCTAGCTAAACAAAGGATTTTTGGATTGTAAAGTTATGTTAAGTTAAAATGCTCAACGATTTTGGTATGAGGATTTAGATCCTTACATTATATCACTTATTGTAATATTTGTAGTGTCACACACATTTCCTTCAATCGTTATAATTGCATGGATTAATGAAATATAAACCTTAACTTTATTCACTGTTTTAAGTAGTTCATAATTAAATGTCACAGCGTAACCTGAGAAACTTTATAACCCTCATCTGAAATTAAGCTATCAATTTCAAAAAATACAAACTATCGATTTCAAAAAATATTTATTCTAAGCCGACGTGACTGTTCTAAAGAAATAAATAAGACACACACATATACTCATGCAAACCTTAATTTAATTCCAGGTAAATACGAGACCTTGCTAGACGATTCGACATTAGCGCTGCATACGATCAACGCATCCCACATTCAATTCCCACGTCTGGATCATACTTCGGGCACCGCAGAGAAACTGCACAGGTACTTCTCCCAACTCGACCTCCCACTCATCAGGCGCCTCTACAAACTCTATAAACATGACTACAGGATATTTAACTACAATCTAGACAATATTGTAGGCTTCGACCTAGGTTAAATCTAGAAAATCTTCTACTGGGTGTGCCTAAGCCTTTAGAGCTATATTCCGACTCGGGGTGACAGCGTACGATGGACTTATCACGACCTGTACTTCGGTCAATCCAGTCATTCAACAAGTCAAAATAGACTTTTAGTTCGGTCAAGTGAGAATGTTTTTGACAGGTCCGTTTGGACTTGATTCTCGTGTGATCTAAATTTTGAAGAGATCCAGGATTGATGTGTTCTTAGTCCTGTATCTTTTTGAAATATATCTGTTAATTTTATGTTCTCGTAGACCAAAAGGGAAGGTTGTATTTTTATTATATTGTTGCGTGAATTTCGTATGTAAGTTCATTATAATTGCTTATTTTTGTTCCTGTTGGAAAGAAACTACCATTTTAAACAACATACATATATTCAGAGTACTGCTATAGAGAAAGTGCAGTGCTTAGTTTTTAGCTTAACGTTTTAGTCAGAAGTGGCGAGCCATGGAAATGTTTACCTTATTTTCTTGTAGTTTAGGTTTAAGTTTGTGTTCGGATTGTCTTGTGAACCCGTTACGCTCTTGCCCCGGTCGATAGACGCCAGAATAAAAATGTATAATAATTAAATATGGTAAGTAACTTATGTAAATAAATTAAAATATTTATAAATGCACTATTAAGGCGTTGTATTGTATATTTTAGTTTTAACTGTATGGTTACTAAAAAGAGATCTGAATCAGGGCATAGTAGATTTTATCGTCAATAATTTTAATTGAATATGACATCTTGAAGGAATTAAATAAAGACGCGTTCTGACGGTAGATAACCATATCTGATATTGGTATCTATAATACTTATTAATTATCTAAAGAAGTAATATTTTATATCAATATGATTTCATAGCAATGAAATATGCATTTTAATTCGTCATTTCGTGTATATTGATAAAGATATATTACCTAGGTATAAGTAAAGTTATCTTTATATGGACATTGCAGCGATATTATATTTGATTGTTGATATTGTCGTAATGATCCATTTGTTTGCAAAAGTCACGCCTGAATACTGAAAGGTTATTCAATTTTAAATTGTACTTAAATATCGTGCCATCACTGTCTTTATACAAAGAATTTGTATTGACAGAACAATATTTAAGAGCGACTTATTCAGTAACTTATCAGTATTCGGGCGTCAGTGACGCGACGTAAAGATTTGTCAACTGGGTTTTAGTAAGAAATGTGTTAAAATGTTGAATACAAATTAAAGATAAATATTTTAATAATGATAGTTGGAGGTAGTGAATCATACATAATTTATATCTAGTCCATATTTTAGGACTAAAATATATATAGGAAATCCTAGTTAAATGAATTTAAACAATGCATTTAACGAGCATAAATGTGATGGTACTTAGAAGATATATAAACTCTTAGGTTTGTCAATTATTTTCATTACATTTTCGACTTCGTATTATGTATATATATGTAAGTATATCAGATAATAAAGTTGATCCTGACTATGATTTACATACATACATAAGTATAAAATTTGACGTATTTTATTTTATACATAGGTACTTCATTGGCTTTTCTATTTCAGATTGTATGTATAGTAACGATAATAATACAATTTGTATCAATTTGACTTAGTTTTAACTGAAATCGTGTGTCTTGTATAACATTAGTTATTGTTTATAGCAAGTAACCTTCCGAACGCTGACGATATGCTATCTAAAACAATAAATTTCCTAAATGTACAAACTCGAAAATTGCTATATTAAATTTTCATGAAATTTGATTTATTGGATAGGCGTTTGCTTCGTGCTGTGGGATAATAAGTACAACCTGAATTGCGTTAAACACGTCACTGACAGTACAAAAAAAAAACGCAAATATTAAAAAATATTTTAGTGTAATGAAAGTACATTTAATTAAAAGATAAGGTGTCAAAAATCGATTTTATCATTTATTTTAATTAATAAGATCAGCGTTCGTTAGGTTAAAAGGGAGATATTATTATTAATTAATTAATAATAAATAGTTATAATAACATTCCACAATGATATTCCAAAGCTCCCTGTGATAAGCTCCGATATAATTTAATTAATATTCGATAACGATTATTTTAATGACATAGGTATATTTTGATAAGAACATTCACAATTATTACATACTTTCTTTTAATTTAGTTTTTGTTTATAGTTTTAATGAAAAATATCGGTTTTTAATCGAATGTTTTTTAAATTTTTTTTTCTGATTGTACATTGTAGTATTACCTATCTTGTATATTGTATTTAAGCTCTCATTTTGTTTAAACTATTGTTTTATAGATTGAATCTACGTATGTACGTGACTTCATATTTTGTTTGTGTTTCTGTGTTTCACATAAGCTTTGACAAGAAAGTAATGTCAAAAATGTACATAAAAATATGTTTGTAAATCCTTACTTATATTATAAATCGGAAAGTGAGTTTGTTTGTTTGTTTGTTTGTTTGTTTGTTCCACTTTCACGCCGTAACTACTAAACCGATTGCTTTGAAATTTTGCAGACGTAAAGTTAGAAGTCCGGATTAAATAATAGAGTACTTTTTATCCCGGAAAAATTTGATATACCCGAGGGAAAACAAAAGTATTGGTATAGATGGCGCTGTGTGTATTGGTATATGTCACATTGGCTTTTTATCCTTTTGTGACGCGAGCGAAGCCGCGGGTATAACCCATATATCTCCAAGCGGTCACCGCTGCCCGCTCTCCACTAACTATATTATATACCTTATTTCCTAGATACTACTTTTGTATGAACAAATTTAGGGGATGATTTTCAATAATTTTCTACGGGATAAAACCTCGTCCCCACTTGGCAACATTTTGTCGCGCGTCATGTTGCAGCACATTGTGGCTTGACATTGTTATTTATCCACAAAACCTCTACCGCCACTACAAACCCATTACTCTTGGTTGTGCACCGTTGTACATGTTGTTGCTCAGTGTATTCGACACTTCAGTTATATTTAGGTGTATTGGTTGCTAAGTGCCTGATTTGGGGGTCAGACAAACCCGTCACAACCTCCCAAAAGCGCTGCAACTCCTGTGCACCAGGATCTACAGTAGATACAACCATGCAAACACCGGAACACATTGTAGTAGTAAAGTCGTCATCCCAAGGACATGAATAACATGCCTTACAAGGCGGAAAGTCCCAAATCGCTAGTGGCCATACATGTTAGGGTTTGCACGACGGTATTAACCTGACATGCGAATCTTTAACATGTGGCCTCGATAACGACAAGATTTGGTTGCCAAATCGTGATTTTCATAAATAAGTTTTCAATATTGTTCTTTTGTAATAAACATTAAATCTATCTATTTGTGAAACTCACAACTTGGCAACTGAATTTGGGTTCAGATAAAATATTAGGGTTTTTGGAATTTAAAATCACTCTAACACGATGTTTGATTTTATTAGTAAAATGTGTGGCACATTCTAGCTCATTCTGCTGTGATTGCTTTAAATGGCGTGATGTTATGTTAACTACGTGATAAATAGCTACATAATGCAACACTCCAACAACAAAAAACTTATTTCTTATCAAATTATTCTTTATTATCGCATGTTTATAGGTCAGACGCAATTGCATTCTAGTGATAGCAATTTTGTATCTATGTACTTGTACCATAACATTACTTACACCATTTTCGTAACCAGTAGCAAAACGACTTTGTTATACAATTTTCATTTTCGATAGACCTAATAATAGGGTAGATGCCTAATTTTTATTATTTTAATGTCCGTCTGGTAGATTATTTTAAATCATTAGACACGTATTTTTTATTTTCTCACAGAAACGAATACTTTCGACGATATATTGATTTGAAATGTCGCGTGACGTCACTTCTATGTACATTTTATACGTAGAAATGATGTTTTAGCCCCCACTCCAAAACTTTGATTCGTTTTATCTAAGTATTGTTTTATTATACGACGAAATAAAAAAATACGGGTCTAATATTTTTTAATTACCTAACTTACGGACTAATTAGATTTTTAATTTTCATACCCTGTCATCATCCCAATTGTTTACGAATTCTGAGACGGAAAATATTATTTCCAATCCTGTTTTCAGGATGTACAGTGTCTAGCCACATGTTGGACGCACTTTAGTTTTTAGATAATGTCATTATTGTGTTTGTAGGTACATAGATCCCTTATAGGCCTTAGTGTGAATTTGCTTTACATTTATATTGAACCGTGAATGCAATATTTTAATGCGATACATTTACTTATTCTTTTTGAATTACTATTTACTTTTTAAATAATATGTTTATTCTTATATCAATACTGTTGGAGCTGGCTGGTTGTTATAGCAAACGGCTTTGAAATTGTGAATGTTCAGAGTCAACTGTCAAATCCTAAGTTTACAGTCGACAATATAGCATGCATCGGCAATATACAATATAGTCGACAATATAGAATTTGACAATTTGACCCTGAATGCATCGAAGTTTTATAATATTTATTATTATGTACTGTTTTAAACAGTATCTTTGTTTTTACACTTCCGTAGTACCTAGGTATTAAGAAAAACAAAATGGTGCTATAAAAGATGCCTTGATACATAGTAATAAAGTCTTAAATGGCATAAAATGAATATTTATTGTTCAAATATTTACAATTGAATTGTTTAACAAGTTTGTCAAGTGTTTATTTCCGTGTTTATTATTGATTTTTAATGTTAATGACGTTACTTAGAGTGATGATATTATTGATGTAATCGAAATATTTAGATTCAAATGCAATAAATACCATTTAGAATTTATTTGGAAATACATTTTTTAATCTATTAGTTGTTTTATTTTTATACACTTTGGTAGAACATATACCTATCTCATCATCATCATCAACAGCTTATAAGTGCCCACTGCTGAGCAAAGCCTCTTCTCACATGGAGATGGTTAGAGCATTAATCACCACGCTTGCTCAATGCGGGTTGGCGATTTCAAACTTATAATTAGAAATTATAAGCCCAGGTTTCCTCACGATGTTTTTCCTTCACCGTTGGTCAGTGGTGTCTAAATATCTTAGAAAGTACATATAACTCGGAAAAAGTCACATTGGTCCTTGCCGTTGGTAGGTTTCGAACCCGCACCCTCCTGCATGAGAAGGAGGTGTCTTCAACCTCCGGGCCACCACGACATACCTATCTCAAGTTAAAGTCAATTTTTTATTTAAATATTTACATAATTTAATCAAAGCTAAAGGTGTTATTAATTTAAATTATAGCCTACTACGAACACATTTCTTAAAACTATAACATACGATATCTAAACATTACAAATATGTATCGAAATATTTCCATTTTATGACAAAAATAGATAGATAGATTGAAAATCACCTGTAACTCCTATCGAGGAGAACCCATAGAGGACGAAGGGATCTGGTTAAAACGAAATTAATTTATATTACTGGTTAATGAAATTGAATAACAATAGCTATTTACTATGATAGGTACTATGTTCCATCTGGCCTGATGTAGTTGTGTCCAATGATGTCGGCTGGCAGCTTGCAATCTTTCCACGGCTCTGAGAACACCGTGAAGGGACCCGTACCCGGTAATATAACTGAAAAAAAATGTTATATGAAATATCACTCGCCTCGGAGGGTCAAGCAAAGGTGTAAATACAGTGTTTAAGTTTTAAGTGCGGGAGAGCCATGCTTCGGCACGAATGGGCCGGCTCGACCGGAGTGGTACCACGGCCTCACAGAAAACCGACGTAAAGTACCGCTTGCATTATGTTTTCATTCCTCATGACGCTTCCCCAATCTCTCCAATCCCTGAATCCCCAAAAATCTTCAAACTCCTAATTGTCAAAAGGCCGGTAACGCACTTGTAACGCCTCTGGTGTTCCAGGTGTCCATGGGCGACGCCGTTTGCTTACCATCAGGTCGTACCGTCTGCTCGTTGACCGGCTAATCCCATAAAAATACTAACAGTTAAGTGAGGAGTCTCTTTCTGAATAGGTAATAATGAATTTGCCATTTATGTTACGATGAGAGAGTAAAACCCCATTTTCGGGTCGAATAAAAGTATTTTTTACTTTAACAACACTAGTCCATTGTTCAATAGTCGCGCTTGTAGCCACTCTACTGGTCGCGAAGAACCTAACGGGTTGCCAGGGCTCCGGCTCGACGTGCAGGAGAAGGAACGGGGTGGTTTTTAGTCAGTAAGAGTCTGACACTCCCTTCCGCCTCACCCAGGCGGGAGCAGTCATTCGATGATTTTCCGCCCTTCTCATCATAACAAGTGAAAAAAGTACCAAATCATGTTTGATTTACTAAAACAATTAGCAAAAGTAAAATTGACCTCAACACCTAGGACATAGAGTTCACCTCCGTTATGTAACATTAGATAATGGTTATGACCTCACCTGTGATGCCGGGTGCTAATGTGATTGTGTATTTGCCGTCGTTCAGTGCCAGTCGCCAGTTATCGTCCAAAGAGGTCACACTCAACTTCGTGCTGTTCGCCGTAATCTCCAATGTTAAATTCGCACCGAGGTATTTTATGCCTGAAAATAAATATTACGATAGGTACCTATCTAAACTCAGTAATAAACTAAAAATTCTCAGTAGTAACACGGAGTCTGGAATTGTGCCCGGTATATGGCAATAGGCTCACCCCCTATTACATGGGACTCATAACATAAATAGTGAAAAGTGGGTGTTACATTGTACACTGGCATAATGTGCATCTCTGCCTGCCCCTTCGGGGGGGGGGGGGGGATAAAAGGCGTGATGTTATGTTTGTTATGTCTAAACTCAGCTTAACCTTTAGAGAACAAAAAGGCGCATAAAGTAGGTACCTAGGTATTAAAATAAACAACGTTCACTTAGGGTTAGTTTCGAGTCCATAAAAATAATAGGGGTGAACTTATTGCAATGTTAAGTACATTTCAGTCTTTGAAAGTCATTTCAGAAGTTCGGAACCGAACCCGGGACCGCTTGCTCAGTCGAGGGAAGAGATGATATTTTATGAAAATTACAATTAATATTGCACGGAAAACAATGTATTGGGATGAATTACTCATATTGAAAGTAACTTCTTTAGGTCTGCATGTATTACTGTTAGATATACCTAACTTCAATTAAATTAATATTAAGTCAATGGTTTAGTTACCTCGTATTGTGAATTTACTAGCTTTAGGTGGTAGACGAGGTTTGTCAATCTCTAGCCGATCCAAATGTATGCTGACGCCAGCGTAGCCGAAGACCAGCGTTTGAAGGAATCCTCCCATACCAGTGAAGAAGTTGACAGCTCCAGAGTCAGGACGGCGGAGTTCGGTCCATATCTACGAATTAAACACGAATATTGGCAGGTTGGCAGGTACCTACCTAATGCAGGTAAGCCTGTTAAAGTCAGTACGGTAACACTGGGTACAAATGGAACTTATTTCTAAAAGCTAAAGATAATTGACATAAACTGACAAATAGACAGCCTGTGTGTAGTCGACAGGCTAAAGAAACCCGTTTCTACTAATTTTAAGTGTAGGCGAGCCATGCTTCGGCACGAATGGGCCGGCTCGACCGGAGTGATACCACGGCCTCACAGAAAACCAACGTGAAGCAACGCTTGCTTTGTGTTTCGTCGTGTGAGTGAGGTTACCTGAGGCCCCATTACTCTCCCCTTCCCCAATCTCCCCAATCCCTGAATCCCCAACGATCCTCAAACTCCTAATCCCCAAAAGGCCGGTAACGCACTTGTAACGCCTCTGGTGTTCATGGGCGACGCCGATTGCTTACCATCAGGTGATCCGTCTGCTCGTTTACCGGCTTATTACATAAAAAAAATAAGTATAGGTAACGACATCATAAGACATCAAATAGATACGAGTAGCAATGTTTAAACAATTTACCTTAAATGGTTCTCTAACAAAACCTTCATAACTCTTATTGAACACCTCTTCAGCTTTGGCGTCGTCATCTAACTGCAGATGACCAATAGTGTGCATGCTCCACGTCATTGCTGGACCGTTCTCCCGAGTAACAGACTCGTAGTATGTCAAGTCGTTGAGACGTGTGGAACTGGAAAATTATAACAATTAACTTAGCAACACGATTGTCAGTTCGCTTACAAGTTAATTGCTGAACATCGGTTGAATGACAGACAGGCTAGTTATGTACGAGTCCACTTTGTCAGATTGTGGACAAGACTGACTTCGATCGATTAAAGGTTTAAAGAAATGCTATAAATGGCAAAAATTGCAGTTATGCACCTTCGGTAGAATAAAGCATTTGTAATACAAGCTTGTTATTAATAAACGAGAAACTTTGCAAGCACCAGTTCAGCCCCCGATATTTGACAACTTTTGGCGTAGCACAATCAGGGAAAAAATATCATAGATACGACACTTACGAGTCAATTTTTTTTCTAAACGTAATTAAAACAACAGTTGTTTAATTTCATAAACTGCGCCTTTACTTGCAAAGTTTCACGATTATTCAATAACATCTTGCATAATTTATACACGCAAAACGAAACCTAACCTTTGGAAGGATTGCTTCGCTATTGTGGCTATATGGTCATGGAAAGTGAGTTTTTGGTCGAATGTGACTCCCTGTAGATACATAACTCAAATCATCGAACTAAATACAAACAAACAAATTGTACTCACATATTCATCTTATACTGTAAAGGGAAGCCCAACAACACAGCATCAGCTTGTTTGATCTGCTCCCCTCGATGGTACCCAGTAAACTGAGGGTGGTAGTCGTTCTCATCATCGTAAGGCAAAGCCAAAGACCATGCGATGTCTGCATAATGGTCGGGGTCCCTAGCCATGTAGTATGATTTGCAGAGGCAGGACACGTATCTAGAATTGACAAGTGTTTAATACATAAAGGTGGAAATAAATTATAGGACACAGTTGATAAAAATCCAGAGCAAGGCAACTGCGTACCACTACCGAATGAAAAAATCGGTAGGTATTCTACCAAAACTAAAAATAAAATAATTAATTAATCTTTAGCAGGAAAAAAGCTTCTACAACTTTTTATAAAAATATGTAGTTACTTCTAAAATCATTGTCATTATGCTTATTGAACAACCCTCGTAGTTTTCAAACTATGTCACACAAAAATATATTTAGGTAGGTACTTACTGTGCCAAATAAAGCGAGTATCCAGCTATAACATTAGTGAATACTGAGTTTGTGACATTCCGGTGATCTTCATCAGGACCCATAACATCTGAAATTGGTTGTTAAATTGAAATATTAAAATTGGTTGTTTCACTATACCAAAGAAGTTGGTTAAAGGCGCTAAGGATAAATGACCGGAACTGACTTCCGAAAGTCAAAAAAATATAAAATTGTCTGTTATTGGTCGATTGGACCTTTGTGTATCTGAAAACCTACAGTGTAAAATATTGTATACTTTAATAAATCTGTAGATAGGTCATTTTTTCTATCTATGGAAGACTTAGACATTTTGAAGAACTACTGATTAGCTATAGAACTACTCAGTCATCACCATCATCATATCAGCCACAGGACGTCCACAGCTGAACATAGACATCCCCAAATGACTATCTTTCTGATAGAGGGTAGGTAGTTCTCAAATTCCTTTACACGTAGAACCAAATCATACTAAATTCATGTTTTACAAAAACCTAATTTGTCATCTTCCTACATAATGCCAAAAATAATAGATTTAGGTATGTAGGTATTACCTATACTTACTTGCTATTTCATAGAAGCCGGTATTAAAGTTGATAACGGCGCGTGACTCCCAAAAGTCCGCTATCTTCGTAACAATGTCACACCCACCATGCTGAAAATATTAAATAAGCTGTATTAGTTAAATTAAAACTACATTTGACCGATGCATGTAAAAATGCAGTATTTAAGAATTATAGGTTTTTGAGGTGGGAAAATCATCGAATGACTTCTCCCGCCTAGGTTAGGCAGGAGGCAGTGTCAAACTCTTACTGACTGAAAACCATCCCACTGCTACTCCTGCAGCCCCGAGTAGAATTTGTAAATCATAGATATAATAGTTCTTATATCTTTTATTTTTTTTGATAGATAAGTAAATTTTAAGTTTTATAGTTTTTAAATGTATATATAAGAAATAATGTACTTTATTCTTAAATAAATAAGCCAATTAAACAGTATAAGAGTGTATCTATTACCTTCAGCCACTCCTCGTCTCGTGTAGTAGAGAGGTACTGACGAACGGCGAAGGCGATACACCCGCTGATGTGCTGCTCAAAGGTCGCAACGTCTGGACAACATGGCTGCGTCACCTCCACTCCTGTGTATGCACTCTCCCATGGGTACCTGGAGAGTTAAAATAATAACGGATCATATTAACAACTGACCACAATCCAGAATCTTTGACATCAGGATGCTAGGTGCGAGATTTTTTTTTTGAATTAAATTTTTCCTGTGTCATGGACGCGTTTACAAACATACAAGTTCACATACACACCATAACCAGACCCGGAACAACAATCTGTGGATCACACTAAGAATTGTTCCGTGCAGGAATCGAACCCGCGACACGTTGCGTGGCAGCCAGTCGCCAACTACCACGCCAACCGTGCCAACATGAATCCGAGTGTAATAATTGATTATAAAATAAAAGTTATTAAATTATAAGACATTAAAATAATTAATTGCTTGGAGAGGATAAATCGAACAGTCAGCTGATACTGATTAAACACCATATAAATAAATCGCCCGATCGATTTCGATCACGCTGACCAGACTAGACTAGCCTACTGCGCAGGAGATATTACAGTGCACAAGTGTGTGCGCATGCATAGGTGCATTCTCTGTTCCCTCACTCTCTGAACTCGATGGGACGGCAGACCGACACGACCGGGGGAAGATCAGTCGCAAGACCGGCTTTACGTACTTTACGAGCTACACGAGAGACCTCTATCTCATACGTGTAGATGGGTGCAGGAAATATTTATACCTATATTAACATAACATAACATCACACCTTTTATCCCCGAAGGGGTATGCAAAGGTGCACATTACGGCACTTAATGCAAACTTAATTGTAACACCCACTTTTCACTATTTATTTTATGAGTCCCATGTAATAGGGGGTGAGCCTATTGCCGGGCCGGACACAATTCCAGTTTTCGTGCTACTACTACAATTATTTTAAAAAAACCCGAGACCCCTTGCTCTTGCAGTCGCACTTGCAAACACTCGGCCAACGAGGCAGACCTATATTAAGCTACAAATACATAGTTACTAACCTGTATCCTTTATGTCCAGTGATCTTGGCGAGGTCTGCAGCCACATATGCGGTGTCCAGGCGATACTGCAGCAACTTGTTCGCATACTGAGGGTATAGCAACAGAATCGAGGGGAACATCCAGGTTTCCGTGTCCCAGAAGTTGTGACCTGCAACCATAAGTAATTATTAAGTGTAAGTTGTTAGAATAGGTTTTTAATTGATGACATTCGTAAATGAGTAAAAGCCCCGGCTATTTTTATCAGTACCTATCTTAACAAATAGTGTTTGTTATAAATCTTGCCATATATATATGTTGGTGTGTAGTGGCACCGATTGCTTACCCAGGTAATTTATTTGCTTGTATACCGCTTTATGTCGTAAAAAAATATTTACCTTCATAGTCTTCAAAAGTCCCTCCTCTCGCCAACCCAGTAGGGCTGAGACCGAAGTACCTGCCCAGAGGTTGGAACGATTCCTCAGAAGGCAAGGAGCTCAGGAAATAGTACCAAATACCGTTCACGATCTTGCCCTGAAAGAAGGAATAGGCAAATATTAATAAGCTTTAGTGACGATAACAAATGCCATGAATATCTTGTTGATAAATAAAATAAAAATGCATTACTAAACGCAAAACCCGTTGAAAATAATAAAAATGTTCGTAAATGTCAAAAGATGAAAGCAAGAAGACTGACTGCCTCATTGGCCGAGTGGTCGCAAGTGCGACTGCCGGGCAAGGGGTCTCGGGTTCGATTCTCGGGTCGGGCAAAGTATTACTGGGTTTTTAAAAATCTCAGTAGTAGCACGGAGTCTGGACATGTGCCCAGTATATGGCAATAGGCTCACCCCCTATTACATGGGACTCATAACATAAATAGTGAACAAAAGGGTGTTACATTGTATATGTATGTGGGAGCAGTCATCAAATGACTGCTCCCACCTGGGTGAGGCGGAAGGGAGTGTCTCTTACTGACTAAAAACCACCCCGTTCCTTCTCCTGCACGTCGAGCCGGAGCCCCGGTTACCCGTTAGGTTCTCCGAAAGTGCCGTAAGCCGTAATGTGTGCCTCTGGCTACCCCTTCGGGGATAAAAGGCGTGATGTAATGTTATGAAAGCAAGAAGAGAACCCGTGCGTTTCTAAGTCGCTTCTTTAATTAGAAGGTACATGACTGCATCCCAGTTGTACTCGCACATACCAATTCCAAGTTCCCTTCAATCTCTACGCCACCCTGTTGATACAGCTTCTGCCACTGTTCCACGTGTTTCTGGAACAACTCCTCGCCGTCCTCCTGCAATACTATGCAAGTGTGTAACTTTACCATATGTTGACATCGGAAGATATGTAAAATTACTCATCAGCTAGCTTGCCAGAAAATTAATCGCTATGAAACAGGCCTTGACTGAAGCTAAATTTAACTAAACGCGTTGCATTTCATGAAAAAATCATACAAAGGAAATGAAATCACAATTAACCTTTAACCAGCTCCTCTCGCGCAACCGTCTTATTCTTATCTGCCGTCATGGCGAACGTGAACACCCTGGAGCCATGTTGCGGTACCACCAAGTGATCAGGCACTGACGTCCAGTACGCACACACATCCACTGGTAATGGTTGATAGGCCAGGTCTTCAGATTCCATAGTTTGTCCACAAACGCTCCAGACTGTCCTACCGTTTATAATTTCTGGTACAGGATCGGAAAATGCTATGTCTTTACTCTCTGGTCCCGGCATTAGTTTAATTGCTATCCAGATTTCTTGATTTACGAAGTTGGGATCTAAAAAGATAAAGACAGTAAAATTATTTCTATTCTCAAACTGGTTGGTATAATAAAATGAATTTATACTCAATTTCAATATGATTCAAGTTTCATTTTAGGTTTGTTCGACAACGTCTTATTGTAGTTACATTTAAATTTAGTATAGAACATGGAACGAAAAATTAATCATACACTGGAACAGGTTCGTACTATTTTTTAAGATAATCGTACATAATTATCAAATCCAGCAGATGTGCTTGACACACCACGTGTCAATTAACGACGACGGCCCATTGAGCTCATTTATGCTAAGTTTAAACTAAAATAGCAGCTGTTGGTAAAATCTTACATACCGTAGTGTGTTTTAGAATCAACTTGAATCTGATTCACGATAGCTCTCGTGTAGAATCTATGTGCATATATCCGCTGAGTCACCACTGATCTCTCCCTATCAACTCTTACTTTAAACACAGCTTCTTTTGTGTCCAAACTGTAAATTGGACTGTAAGGAAAGTGAGTTAAGGTCGAGTTTAGCCTGATGTTAGCCCATGATGGAATCCTAGCCCGGTGGCTGTACCCACCACGTCCATTGTACAGGCCGTTCATGTAAACCGTATCACTGAAGATGTTCGTAGCTATGTGTCCATTTCCAATTGATGGCATGAATTTGTCGTTCGATGGGAGACTGCAAGAAAAATACATAACATCACGCCTTTTATCCCCGGAGGGGTAGGCAGAGGTGCATATTATACCACTGTACAATGTTACACCCACTTTTCACTATTTATGTAATGAGCCCCATGTAATAGGGGTGAGCCTATTGCCTTATACCGGGCACAATTCCAGACTCCGTGCTACTACTGAGAAAATTTAAAAACCCAGTAATACTTTGCCCGACCCGGGAATCGAACCCGAGACCCATTGCCCGGCAGTTGCACTTACGACCGCATGCACAACTTGGTATTCTATTGCACTTGACCAAGGACGTTGCACTTGACAGTAGGTACATCTATAATGAAAACCGTGTCATCAACGCCTACTATAATTGTCCTAGCAAATGGTCTATGTAACATAATCTGGCGCCTTCATTTAAATTAATAATATTCGATATTTAAACTCGTTGCGTCCACATTTATGGCAGGCGTTATTTAAATTATTGTAACTCTTCCTACTATTCCTGCCTACATTTTGTAAAAGGTATACAAAAATAGATTAAAATTATCAAATGTTCGGACATAGGTAAAATCCATGCATGCCTAACTTTTCTATTTTAATGCTTACAGGAACAAGGAAAACCAATATATGAAGCAGGAATTGTAACATATTACGTACTACATAGTTACATTATAAACATAATTAAATATAGCTGCTCTAAATCGATTGAATATTAGTAGAAAGGCTATCATATTCTTAAATATTTCAAAATACGCTACGAATTTATTGAAGGCATATAAAACAAAACCTTAACTTCCATACCATACTCAACACAGGCATCGAACACAGAACATGTTTGCAACTACATATTAGATTAAATAGGAAGGCATTCTTTCATCTATTATATGCTATATATATGCCTAAGTAAACAGATAATACATAAAGTGTGAGCGCCCGAATAAGGTTAGAGCATAAAAATAATTTATTATTGTGTGTTATCTGTATTAAATTAGCAAAAATAATAACAAAATTACTCACTTATGTGCCGAGAACACGTAACTCGCCGGGCTAATGTCTTCAGGCTCCTCTACTCCATTAATCTCTGCAGCATTGCCACCACCACCTTTGGTGGTCAGCACGATGGTGACCACCGCTGCCACCGCCAGCAGACCCAACATCGCAGCCACCTGCTTGTTGCGAGCTAAAAAGTTCCACATTCACACTAGAGTTTTACAACCTTATTGTCAAAACCTTGGCAGAATAGTTAAATACTTGTGTTAGAAAAAATCAAACTGTCAATTTGAAAATTCGAATGGCGCGCAAATTGACTGGTTTTGGAGAGAAAAAAAATTGTACGCGACCGTCAATGAGAGCGGGAGACTCCCGTGCGCGTCGGTCAACGACAATGTGTAGATTACGCGACCTACGACCTAACATGACACACATTATTGTTCTATTAGCAGAGATAATAATAATTAGGGCCGTCGCTTTGTTGTAAATCGTCGCGCGATTTTATCACTTTAGCAAAAAAATGTTCTGATATTATTTTATTATGATAGTTAGGTAACAGGAAAACCCAATGTGTAAAATTAAATTGCTTTAATCACAAAACTAACTATCAAAATCAGCAACCTTTAGCCATGTCTGCTATTCAACTGATGTGATGTTTTTTAAACTCTAGCCAGAATATTTGTTAGACCACAGGCTATTAGAGCATTTGACATCCTTAAACATAGGCCGCCCGGTGTCTTCATCTCTAATTCAATTGTCGCTTCCTTATTACTAAACTAGATACGGCTTAGCACAAGTCATCTTAATATTGAATTAATTGTTCCAATGTCGATTAAATAATGAAAAGTAGGTCTTGAGTGTATTAACTAGGTGTGTACTGGAACTAGGCAGCTGGATCATTTAGTACCTATGTGAGGAATATGTAATAAAAATTCGTTTGTGTAGTTTTGAGCGTTTAGCTTTAATACCGTGATACCGGCTCTGTTTATATTAGCTGATACATTAAAGCATTTTTACCAAATTAATATTAATAATATTTCTTCAGTAATATTTTTCATGATAACCAACGCTCATTTTTTGGTAAAAGGTGATTTGACAGACTGCCCGGCCTGGGCAGTAGCGTTATCATATTATGATAAACCCTTCTTTTGTAGAGGGGACCAACCAGAAGACCTGTAGTAAAGTCTCACGGACTGTTGAGTATGATGAAGACGTCTGTGCATTGCATACCTATTCACACAGCAAGCCTACACTTAGGTAGGAAGGTAGGTAGACTTTAGACTTAGGTAGACTGCCTCGCTGGCCGAGTGGTTGCAAGTGCGACTGCCGGGCAGGGGGTCTCGGGTTCAATTGCCGGGTCGGGCAAAGTATTACTAGGTTTTAAAAAATTCTCAGTAGTAGCACGGAGTCTGGAATTGTGCCCGGTATATGGCAATAGGCTCACCCCTTATTACATGGGACTCATAACATAAATAATGAAAAGTGGGTGTAACATTGTACAGTGGTTTAATGTGCACCTCTGCCTACCCCTTCGGGGATAAAAGGCGTGATGTTATGATTATGATGTAGGTAGGTACTTACATATACATAAACGCAAAGAAAAAAACTAATGCGAAGTTAAAACATTTAATAAAGTAAATGCCTTAAAATATTCTTTATCTTTTGGAACAACCCTATTATAGTTTAGCGCATAACAAATAGATTGTCTTGTAAACAAATATAGTGTGATACACCCACTATGCAAAACTGCATACTGCAGACAATACTAAACCTACACCTCGTTATCTAAAAAAAACGTTGATATGAAGCAAGCACTATTCATACGGCTTTAGTCATAAATAGGTACCTACCTATAGAAGAAATTCCCTTAACGCCGGACGGCACCTAACGCCGGACACTTGTATTATCTTGATAACTGATAACACGAGCGATTCAATTTTTACTACAAATCTTAGGTGTCTGCCACTGGGAGACTTCCAAAAATTAAATCGCTCGCGATCTTAGTTATCAAGACAATACAAGTATCCGGCGTTAGGTGCCGTCCGGTGTTAAGGGACTTCTCCCTACATATAAAATCACACCGTTTATTCCACATAGAAGGAGACAGAAGCGATCATCATAAAGGATCTCCTTTAAACTACAGGCTGCGCGACATCGCCGCGGCGGCGCACGCTGGTCATGAGGTAGAACCCCTCTGTGGTTCGAAACTAGTAGAGTTTTTCTCAGTATATTCACGTGAGTAACCCGCGATTTTAGTTAATTTAGTCATGTTATAATCTTGAAAAGTACACGTTTATTCATACTTCAATAAACAAAATTACTTAAAAACTATTTTTTTTATTATTATGTTGCCCCACGTTAGAATTTTCTCCTGTGTCGTGGGTGCGTTTACAAACATACAAGTTCACACACATATGACACCCAGACCCGCAACAACAATTTGGGGATTACACGAAGAGTTGCTCCGTCACGACAGGTGGCGTGGCAGCCCAGGCACCGCACCAACCGTGCTGTCAAATTGTACTACTTGTAGAAGCAAAAATAATAGAGTGCTTTCTAGTATCTACTGCCACTATCACAATTCACAATTTTTTAAGACTGTAATCACACGGTCACACATGAAACAGCTCGGTTTAACCGAGGTGTTTCATGTGTGACCGTGTGTGTGACGTCATAACCAAGCATTTCGAATACATGTTAAAATTCTAATAATACTCTTTCCGATCCGGGAATCGAACTAAAGACACCCTGCTCTAATCGACTAACAAGACGTTTACCATGAACATCTACCAACCAAGTTATTATTTTTAATTACGTTATAAATGTCACTCATAGAGCGTCGTTTGGCCGTCGCTTGCGCATACGCAGCAGACCGTATACCCTCTAGTTACGCTCTGGTACTTTCGATGAAATGTTCCAACACTTGGTACCGATTCACTTGTTACTGAGAACTAAGTACCGACAACGAATCAAGCTCCCGAAAATGTCCCAAATAATTATTCAATTTATTTTCAACTTTGGCAACATTGAGTTAGGGTTTAAAATCTGTAAATGTGTCATAGATCATTAATTGTTTTAGAGAATGAGGCTCGTTTACTGCGGTTGGGTAAATTCCGATGTGGCTTCGTTATTTGACAGTTCATTGGTTACCGCAAGGTGTGAAGTTATTGAAACTAGTTAACGTTTGCACCTGTAGTTATTTTAACTGATTTATTTTTGTATTTTATTGAATTATGATTTTGAACTCCAGAAATTCTCAAAACAGAATAATCCAATAATTCTTTTGAAGTCGGTTAAAAATACTATAATTAAGCCCGAGAATCTATCAGATACAATTTAGAATATATTCGCTTGTATCGCGCCATGCACTACCCATGATTATAAGCCCTTGACGAGGTTTGAAACTAATTGAGTTATCTCTCCAAAGAGTTACATGAGTAAGCTGTTAAACATAATTAATTATTAATATATTAGATACAAAGTGTAATAAAGAACGAAATACCTTTATATGGTCCTTTTTTTACAAAATGTCGTCCAGATGTTGATTGATTGGCTTGAGAATACTGACGTCACATTTATCTAATTATTCAATGAAACTGACCGAGTAAGTGGTCTGCAATTATTGGAAGTCGCCACGATACTGGATCCAATGACAAACATATTTATTGTTTACTTCTCCAGATTGATTAAAATCGTTGTGTCAATGTTTTCTTCATTGTCTTGTATACGTAAAATAAGGTGATTGTATCTTCTACCACTGTCAAGTACAAAGTTACTTAATTAGTTCTAAAACCCGAAGACTGGAAGGTTACTCTATTATAAGGTCGTACTTAAATAACGTGCCATCGCTGTCTTTTTACAAGTAATTTGTAATGACAGAACTATACTTAAGCGCGACTTAAAATTCAGTAGCATTTCAGAATTCGAGCAGATTGAAAATAAAATGAAAAAATAAATAATGATGTCGATTCTGAACTAATAACGTTCAGAAACTAGTAATTTTCTAGAAGAAAGAACGAGACCGAACAGAACTGTAAGAAGTTATTGAACACATCGTTTAGGAAAGGTATATTATAATGACCATTTGTAATGGTAAATGGCATAACTATTTGGTCTCCTTTATTACATTTTTTTAAAGCCTCATACCAGGAGCTTCGTTTAGTCATTTTACTTAGAACATTGAATGGAATCCATTGTTATTTTGTTAACAAGAATATTGTTGTGTAAACTTAATGAGAAAAAAATGTTCGGATCATATTCTAGGAATTTAAGCTATAAATAAATACACTCATCTCTGATTAGAGGCTTCCTGATTGGTCTGTACACTGTAGGTTACAATTACCGAATTACTTTTTTTTCTATTTTCAAAATTCTTATTTGTCCAGTAAGTAGTATCAGTAATCTTTTTCATATAGTAACTAGAAACTCATCTTATTGCATGAGACTAAAAAAAATCGTTACAAATGAACGATACATGCTTTGAAAAGTCAGGAGCCATCTTCTTCAAAAACCACAACGTCATTATCTCACCCCATAGAATAGCCCCCCAAAATTCTTCCCCTAACAGGTGGACACTAAAACCATAAAACTTTCCATGTAACCTGCTTGAATTAACGACTTGAGCAGTGAGATATGATTGGACAGAGATTCAATGTCATTACCGCGCTGGTGAAGCGGACCGTGTCGCCCTCCGCTCCGCTCCAGCCGTCAGGCCAACCACCTCGGATCCAAGACACCATTCAGTTTCTTACTTGATACTACGCTATGTAACTTTATGGCAGGTTTATTGGAAGATGAATGACGATTTTTATTAATATCCGGTGTTAAAATCGTTTTTGTTGCATTAAAGATATTAAAACTGTCTTGGAGAGTTTTATTTCTTCATTTAGTCAAGTTTTAAGTGACTGTAATTATAATTCATATTTGGAATATTTAATACGATCACGATCCAAATATGTCCTGTGAAAACTAACGATAATATAATGAGATAGATGTGGGAAATAGCCATAAGAGAGTTTAATCGCCACTCAATGATATTAGAGAAATCGCTATGCAATACAATCTGTATAGGCAAGAAATCAACTAGGCTCTACTAGGCGATGTCACGCAGCCTACTCGCCGCGACCGCGTACGCTGCTCATGAGGAAGAACCCCTCTGTGGTTCGAAACTAGTAGAGCTTTTCTCAGTATAACCCGCGATTTTTAG